TACCCTGTATGCAAATTACCGGCCATCTTAATTGTTTACATGAACTTAGTACCGTGATCCTTTTTGTCTGAAGTCCGAAACACATTTTCACACGGAAGAAGATAAACCCAGGAGTACATAACACGTGGCAGTTGTACAGAGGACTTTGATATTTACGACGAGACAGAACGAGCTGAAAACAACATCTGAAACCGAAAACTCTGATCACAAGGACGACATAGTGACATAGCTAGCCAGTATAAGCTGCAGTTTACGAGTCAGTTTCTCAACGTGTTTATCTAGCAGGCAAACCAAAGCAAACATTCAGAAATTGAGTAAGAGTAAGATATGGTTGGCCGTTGTGTTTCGTTTTTTATCAAAGAACTTCAAATCGTGACGAKAGTAAACTTCCTCTGTAAACTATGACGGCCAACAATGTCATGCTTACAGTCTGTTCGTCTACAAGTGACTTTTCGATCTCTTGTTGCCCTTGTGGCTATAATTCTTATCGTTGCAGCGTTCAGAAATGAAATACGAGATTTCTACCATCCTTGGGCGACGTATATACACTGTAAAGTTGCCGAAGCTGTTGATGATAAACAGGGCTCAAAGAGAATTYTATTCTATACAACATGGTTTGGTAGAGCTAAATGGCCTGCYGCTAGCGAGCCGAGGCTGCCATGTACTCACAAATGCTTGATAAYTTACAACAAGTGCGAGTTGCCGTTCAGCGATGCAGTTGTCTTTCATGAAAAMGACCTTAATTTAGGACGTATTGGATTAARACGAGTAGGAGAGTACTTGAGACGAGATCCACACCAGAGATGGGTTTATTATACGCACGAAAGTCCAGAAAATGTCATCCATGATCCTGCTCAATTTGATGGGCTTTTCAACTGGACGATTACGTACAAATTGGACTCAGATATATTTTATCCTTATCGCCATTACAGCTCTTTAGAATTTAAAGAAAATAATACTTATAAAACCAATTATACCAAGGGAAAGGACAAGCTTATCGCTTGGGCAGTGAGCCACTGTGGAACTGTTAGRGATAAAGTTGTAGAAAAAATCTTGAAGTTTCTTCCGGTTACAGTTATAGGGCGCTGCAGCCACCTATTCAATCAAGTCACTCCAGAAGTTTGCAAGCAGCGATCATCAAAGTGTTCATCTTATTTGAAAAGATTCAAGTTCTACCTTGCCTTTGAAAATGGACTGTGCATTGACTACATAACGGAAAAATATTGGAGCAATCCACATAACCACAACATGGTCCCAATTGTTTTGGGCTCCAATTATGATGCTAAGGTTGCTATACCTGGTTCATTTATTAACATTCTTGATTTCCCGAGTATGAAAGCTTTCTCTGATTACATCAAGTAYTTGGACAAAAATAACACTGCTTATAATGAATATTTTAGCTGGAAAGCAAAGTTCAAGTTGATCGATTCTGAATGGCTGTGCAGATTATGTGTTAATCTTTATAATGACTCGCTGCCAAGGAAGGTTTACACAAATTTAGGGGCCTACTGGGGAGTTCAGAATAATTGTCACAGGAATCAGGCGAAACTTTTGCGTCTGTTGCATTGACGCTTGATCTCGATCACACGTGCAATATAGACCATTATGCGCGTAGCGTGCATATACGCACGTGCGTATTAGCGGCAAGGAAATATTACAATTTTCGAGATTTGATGCATTTTATATGCTCTGGATGTCCCTCAAAACGCTGGAAATCGCATTGCCAAGAGTTGTTATTTCAAAATTTCCTAGAGGAGGACCCCAGATCCCCGTTAATACTCCCGCCTTCGCCCGTCATCCCCCCACCCTAATTTAGAATGTGTTGAGGTCCCTGACATGTGTTTACTAGCCAGAAAGTCCACGGTACGTGCCTGCAGATGACACTCTACAGTGGGACACAAAGATGATAAATATGCAATGCTAATGCATGTCATTATCTTAAGGCTCACAAAATAACATTGGAGATTACTTGAGCGTACACAAAAAAGTGCGAGGACTTCCAGTGCGAGGTCGTCCCTTCACTGCACATTGACTATTTTATCTCGCTCATTCCCTGATGATGCTGTAGACAGCGAAAGCTTGGAACAATTTATTGTAAATAAGATCTACAACCAGCAGCTTCGGTTAAATTTTGTACTTTCTACTTCATTGGCTATTCGTTTTTAAAAGTTACCATATATTCTGATTGGCTACGCTATTCGGGGTCTACTTTGCAATAGTCCTCGACTAGCGAAAAGCGACAACTTTCTGCGTATTTTTAGCAATRACAACATTTAGTTATTTATATATTTCATTCATTTTTTTGTCCAACTAGTATGGTAATACTAAAACAATGAGATCTCGAGGGCGAGTGGACTACGAGCTGATAGCCCATAAGGCCGAAGATCTAATAGTCAYCGTATTATGATCTAATAAGGTAGCCGTGCCTTTACATCGAAGCGAGACAACCGTTGAGCGTGTAATGATAGAAACCTGTGAATAATTGTCTGTAGGTGTGAAAGAAGGTTTCTATCATTGCACACTCAACGGTTGTCTCGCTTCGATTCAAAGGCACGGCTACCTTTCAAGATGGCGCAGGTATAACCGTGAAGAAGACTATTGTTAAATAACAAAATTGAGCCGTTTAGTTAGCAAAGCATTCAGTTTTGTTTGAATGATTAAGTATGCTGTTTTATTAAAAATACTAATAATTATATTTACAGAGGTAACAACCAATATACTTTATATTGATATTAAAAAACGAAAACTTTGATGGTCCTATTGAGAGGTCCTATATTACACCATTCGAGGACCATTCGAGTACATTAGTGAAGATTCATAGGTCATTTCCTTAAAAGGAACTAGGTCTSAGTTTCCCGCGCCAACTAGTGTCCACGACTTGCGCACATACATTCTCCTGATGTCYGGCATGGGGACACAATTTTCCGCCATTTTTCATCATTGGCGCTTTTTGGTTCTACTTCTACTCCTTCTACTGTAAGTTTGCCTTCATGAAATGCTGTAATGCATTCAAACGAGCATCAATTTCCAGCATTTCCGCAGATCGGTTGAATGAATCCTCAATTTCTGCAAACAGAGTTTTAAAAAGTGAGYTGCAGCTTAGAGTTCAAGTGTTCATTTCTTACGGCATAAAAGTTTATCTTCCTGGGAAATTCAACCCAAATGTTCATAGAATATTATATATTGTATAACGTGACTTATGTAAGGAGTTGTAAAAAATGTCCTAAAAACAGATGAGTTTCTTTAAAAGCCAATACCTTGCGATCGAATCGTCTTTGCGTTCCGAATTTTTCCTTTAGTGCGCGAGTGCGTTCGACCGTTTTCGGGGGTACTCGAGTATCTATGATATTATTAAGGATTTTACCCATTGTATTTTTGCGTATCAGACACAAATTTGACTGGCCAGCGTAGCTAAGCGTTCCTAGCCGCTYAGAGGGTCTCTTCGGTCYAAACTCCCATCGGAGCGGTCAGGAACACCTGGCTACGCATGCTAACCCCCCGGCTTTGATGTGACGTTAGTCAGTAGCTGTGGTAAACTCACGACTTTCTCAAGGATACAAAGCGTTTGGAATTCGTATGTCTTTGTAGCTGCCCTGAAAATAAAACGTTTAAAACAAATCATTACGTAATGYCACAGAAGATTTCAGAGCGGTAAAGAGAATGGGCTTACCATGTCTGACGCCTCGGGGCTCGACCAGGCATCGCGTCCCTTTCGGTTTTCTTTTCCGGCTAAATTTTCTGATTTTTTCTTTGTTCTAAAATCGTTATTACGATTACTTTAATGGGACATTTTTGATATATAACGAGCGCGCGCTTTAATACTGATTTTAAACAAGTTTCCACACTGTCAGTCTACCACAGGAAGTCCATAACATACCTTCTTCGTGTAGGTTTGTTCGAATGATCTGAYAAAATGCCATCCATCGATGACTGCGAAGAGCGCCTACTCGCGTTACTTCCMGCAGACGAAGGGCGTCGGCGCCCTAACAACAATAACAACAACAAAGATATAGAACGAGCTTGATAAAAAATCCCTTACCCTCTCCACCCTAGTGGAGTGTACCTTTTGCACTGCCTGCTTTCTCAACGGAAGGGACTAAGCCAGAGTTACGGTTCGCTGAGAGAGATCTGGAACGACCTCGTGTTAGAGAGCCATTTGATYGAGTTCTTTTTCGGCTGCAAAGTGAATTAAGTCATTTCAGGGTGTGGTTGCTTTTACGGCCGTCTTAATAGYAATACTCACCCTCTTTCTTGRGCTTCCTGTGCTTTTCGCTGTTTTTCCTTAACGTACCTGATTCCAGTAAAGGAAAACAAAWACAGCGCCAAGTGCTGATGATTGCGTTACATAGCCACTTTTGTGATAAAAATATCCATACATTATGATAAAAATATTCATACATTTATTGATTGATTGATCATCTTTTATTTATTTTGATTTTTTCTGAATTTCCTTTTCCTTTGCGACGTCACAGTATTCATTCAGTTTTCAATTCACTTGTTCATTTTTAATGTGAGTAAAGGATACGCTGTTGGATCAAATCTTGGCGGTCGTGGACCTGTCAATCAATCAAATAAATCATTTTATCATTCAAAGCAGTTCATCATCTAATTTCAACCAATCAATAACCTGCTGGAGATGGCATTCGCCGACGCGACGACATAATGCGATCTCTAGAAGCAGAACGGCGTTCTGTCGAGGCAGATCGACGATCCCGCACCATAGCAGAGCGATCCCGCGAGTTAGAACGACGATCCCTGAACGACGTACGGGAGTTGCTTCTCTGAGTAGTTAAACTCGTTGATGGAGAAACTCTAGACCTTTGAAGGTAACAAGAATATTGAGAGTTAAAATCTTGTTTTATGGAAATCAGAAAATTAGCATATATGTGCAGTATGTGGGTAGTACAATTCATGGAAAGTTTTAATACCCTGGTAAGCCACAAAGAAGGTGTGCAATAGAAAACAAAAAACGTGAARTTGTCTGTGAACAATTCCAATAGGCAATTGATGCCATTTCGTGCAGCAAAGCATGATGGTAGTTKTAGTCCTTGCACTTTTTCATGTTCGCTACAATAGTCCTCATTTGCAGTTTTTGCTTCTTCTAAGCAACAATAGAASTAGTTGTACTGTTTCTACAAAGGTGTAAAAACGGCTCTTAGAGAGATATTTTTGTCTCTATAATAAATGTGAAGACTACAACTACCATCATGATTTGCTTCACAAACGGGTGTTGCTGCACATTGCCTATTTGTATGTATTACATGTAAAAAGTACTCTGTATTACAAAAGAGATGAACCCACCCTCTTTTGAAGACAGCTAATTCATTTGTTAAACTCCGACATCGTGCTCGAAGATTTCGCTCACTTGAACGGACCTCTTCCAACTAAATRAAGAACAAAATGAGAAGTTATATGGCTTAAGAAAACTCAGAATTACTATTACTAATGTACACATGCAGGCAAACAAACAAGACAAATTTTTAGTTACAACATGTGAGACACTTTATACACATGTTTACATATMAATGTAACAAACTTAAAGACAGATCAATCTACTGAAAAATAAGGAATGTAATATGGCTCAACAAACATCTGTCCTAAATTTCTAACCTCATCTGATACACTTCTATATTCTTGATTCTTCTTGTTCAGTGTTCTTTGATATTTGCTCCTTTCTTTCATCAAATCACTCTGGATGAGCAGAAAACAAAAAGATATGAACAAAATTGTTTCATTCAAAGGCATACCATTGGGTTCCCTTTTGTTGTGAGATCGAAGAGGAATGGGTCCTAAATGTTTTGACACATACCTCGAGATTCTGGACAACTTTCTTCAAGATYCTTATTTCTTTTGCAGTATTTGCYTTGTCAGCATGTTTCATCTCTCTTTGAAAATGATCAAACTCAGCCTGRATGTTATCTCGTTCATGTATGGCTTTTTCATACCTGAAAAGTAAAAATAAGTACTTTTACCACATTTGTAACATAATTATTTATAAGATGCTGTTCAATATAGTATACGATTTTCCTACTACAAGTCGTAGGATTTTAAGCAGTGGTTCAAAATCCTACTACAAGTTGTATGTTGCGTATGACTGTTGTAGACAAGTCGTAGGGGCATTTACACTGCGTGATACAAATCGTATACTACAAATCGCACGAGACAATCGTGCCGTGTAAATCAGCCTTAAGTCTGACTCTTTTCTATACTACAAGGAACATACTCTTTCTGTAAATGAATAATAGAGCCACCTCTGGATCCTTTCATGAGCTGAAAATATAAGCAAAGAACAATGCTATTTATTTTTGATGTATCATTCTGCTTGATTATCATAATGTATTATGAATAATATACATCCTTGATGAAATCCTTTAAAACTGATATTATAACAAGCAACGGAAGCTATAAAAGATAATAATTACTTGATCTCTGAGAGCTCTATTTTCTTCTCGYAGAGTTCGTATTGTTTCTTGGAGTTGGACTGGGTCTGGCTTGCCAACATATGGTAAAGGTAGTGGATAATGTATTCTAAAAGAAAAGATAAACTTACCATTCAAAATACACATTTTACTTTTATATTTTCTGATGCATGAAAAGGTMAATAAAAACAGAAACCCAAGATCTACCTTACCTATCAAATTCTACAGAATAAGTTAATATCAAATATCTCTTGGTGTGCAATGTAGAATTAGTCTTGGCAGGAGGGATGTGTTGCGTTCCACCACCAGGTTTATGTGATTTCTTGTTTCGCAAAGCTTCTAAGTCACTGTATGTCAGCAAATCCAGAGTGACMGTTTGACTACCCTGTATATAAAACAAAAGAATAATCAACAGACATCTTGAATTACACATCAATAAGACCCCTAAGAAAGCTTTAATACTCATGATATCACATGATATCAAAGTGTATTCGGTACAAGCAACATTGACAAAAAACAACCCAAAGAAATGTTAAGATGAGGATAACAAACCTTTAAAAGTGCAGACTCTAACATACTAACAAATATGCCAAACTGCTTGTAATTGCCAGTCTTGTGGGTGAGATCTTCAATGTCTGCAATAAACATGTCCATGCATTTTATAAACATTTATTGGCAACAACGTAATTCTTATACTTCTTTGTTGCTCCCTATTATTAGCTTATACCATCAAGGTACTCTACTTCTAAACTAAGCTAACAGGTTTATATGAAAATAACAAAATCATGATGTAATCAAGGTCAAACTTTACAACGTTGTTTCKTACATTTTGCATCGAACATTCCTCTCCACTGGTCGGCTGTCAGTCTGTCCTCCACTTCGATGCTGAACTGATTTTCTTCTTTGTTAACAACAAGCGATACCACATACTCAACGCCACGAAACACTTGCCGACGTGTTGCCGTTATGACATTCTCATCAGGTCTATTTTCCATGGTTTCTTGAGGCAAACGTTGTTCTTCACTCAGCGACAGAATTTTCTCACTTTATTTCTTGTGTTTCTCTGTTAGACTTCTTTCGATTTTCTACAAACTTAGGTCATTTGTGTCCACTTGTATCCATTGCACCTTTGGTAATAATCCAGGAATATTTGTAGCACAAGATYTCGTCTTAAAATTKAAGTTTCTACAGGAACWTCACCAAGCAAATATTTGTATTTTAGCGCGTAATAACGACCATTACAATCCCATAATGCAATATTAGCCCGGCTACCAAGCTTCGTGGTTACATCACAATATGGCGGACGAAGTGTTGCAAAGTCTTCGAATGTGAGTTTGGGCTGAAAAGTTGACATTTCTATCCCAAAAATTGATATTTGAGGATAACAGAGAAAATTATAACAAAGGAAGAAGCCTTTGYAATAGCTGTATTTTCAATTATGCCCGCCCCTACCTCAGAAGAAAGGAAAAAGTGTTATGAAGCGAGGGACAAGTTTTTTGCTTGCCTAGAGGTGAATGAAGGAGATGAATCTGCTTGTGCGAAACATAAAGAATTATACCATGCTAGTTGCCCGATGGCATGGGTAAGTTACATGTTGTTATTTGCAAGATAAATGAGTCAAATGTTAAGCTATTTAAAATTGCTTAACAGTCAAGACGTCATATGGCCACAGGGAGCCCAGCCTGGTATTCTGCAATTGTCTGTGGCCAATTGTACAATGTTGAAATCCTCGTTGAGTGGTTTAGACTTATTTTCAGACGGGCCTGGGTCCAACACTAACACTTTCCTCCCCAAACTCCGCCTCCCCAAACTCCGAAAGCATTAGCGTCAAAACCCAGTCTCATCTGAAAATCAGGCCACTAGTGGCTGAAATGCTTTATACAAAATGTATACAGTGAATAACTTTATCCGCCCCTTTTGCAATTGACTTCATGTCCTTCTATGAATGTGTGAAGCACAGATTACATAATTATAATAGATTTGTGCTTAGGTGACTAATTACATGCATGTTAAATTCAATAAGAACAGAAGCTTAAAAACAAGAAAGTACTTTGCAATACCTGGCAATTCAAAGAAACATTGCATGCATCCAAAGTTGTTACTAGTTGTGTTGACCTATATATCACATGATAGCTCTTTATTTTTTTTATCAGGTGAAATATTTTGCAAGGAAAAAGGTGTATGATGAATATAAAAAGAAATTGAATACAGAAGGTTTCAAGTTGGAAGACTCCAAATAAATTCTGTGATAAAATCGTAAGATTAACTATTTTATCAACAAATATGCCATACCTATAAAAAAACAATTTTTTGGGGAAGAGTTGTGTGAGCTTGCCTAGACTCTTTGTCATCATCAAAGAACTGGAGCATAGTTATCTTTGTCATTGTTTGTTGACAACCTACATGTACATGCACAGTCCACAACAACTACAACAGACTCAAATGATCCAAATTGCTATTTTATTTTAAGACTTTTTTATTTACAAAACAAACCAAATCCTACACAAGATAATGTACAAAGTTGTAAAATAATGATTAACTTGCCACTGAAATATWTTTTATGTACTGAATACAAAATGTAGTAGCAAACTGTAGTTTAGAACTGCCTCTGTCAAAATAAATAAATTCTTTTTTGAAGTTTAAAAAAATTCTGCTAGTCTTGGGTCATTTCTTAGCTTTTGTTCAAGCTGCATGTATTTCTGTGGTGCAAGTTCTTTGTGTCTGCGAAAAAAATATAAAATTATGTTAAGCAAAGTTTAAATAAGGTTTTTGAAGGCATTTGATATTACATTTCATTGTATTCAAACAAATTTTGAATAGAAAAAAGAATAAATGTCGGATTTTTTTTTTGTTATTCAAACAATTCTTTTGTTATTCTTTTTGGACATGGAATTTCTTAGAATAAAATAATTGACATACCTGTTTAGTCGTTGTTCTAAAATGTGAATCCTAAACATTGCCTCACTGCAATAGTTCAGATATTCTTCTTCATCTTCTTTGGTCATGGAGACTTGGTTCTGTTGATACCAGCTTTGTTTACGTTGAAGCTCTTGAGTTTCCTGCAAAAAAAAATGTTTTTTAGTGTGTTTAGATTATATGCATTACACAGATATACTTTTGAATATTCTTTATATTGCCTCAAGAAAACTATGCAGGCAGTCAATTATTCACAGGTTTCCATCATTGCTTTGAAAACCAATGATACTTCTAGGAAGGTTACCTTTTCAAATCTTCCCTGAATGAGATTCGCTTTGTCTATGAGCCTGTGTTTCAAGTCTTGCAAACATTCCTCTTTGAGTTTGAAGGCTTCTGGCCGACTTATATGGGGAGGATCACCTATCTGAGCCAAAAATGGTGCAAGATAGTCAAGTTCTGTCTCATGTTTCTTCATTGCTTCTTCACGTTGCTTTCTCTCAAGCTCTTCCCTGTGTAACTTGGCTTTTTCATTTCTTTCAGTGTCGTAGACTGATACAGACAGTTGAGGAGCTGCTTCCTCTGTTATTCTTTGTTGCAAAATTTCTTTGACCTTTAATATTATTATACAAAGTTATAGTAAAGTCATTATTCAATATATATTATATAGGATTAGAAAGTGAAGTGATAAACAAACCTCTTCCTCAGAGATCCTGACTTGTTGTACACTTTTCTCCTCAGCATCAACAAGAAAAACCAACATGTCGTAAACCTTTAGATTTTTTAGTGGTTTGCTCAGTGGATCCACCTGTGATTAAGTTAAAAAAAGAGAGAAATGATTAATCTTTTGTTTTCTTGTTATTTGAAATTGAATAATTTTTATGTCCAGCAGTTTTTGACAGAAATATGTAGTTCCTCTGCCACTTTGACATAMATTTGCTTCTCTGTTTACTGATTATTTTGTGCTTGCTAAGTTTGTTAGTTAGTCTTGTTTTAACATGTTTATTTGTTTATTTGTTTATTCAATTTTACTTGATACCTGAAAAGATGTAGTCATATCAGGAGTCATRTTCAATGCACCACCTTTTTCAGCAGTATGTGGTGGTCGTATGAACTCTCTTGTTGAAGCAGTAACCCTTTGGTCTTCAAGGTGAAATGTYAACGTGATTCGTTCCTCAGAGATTAGAAATACACGCTCTGCAACATCTTCATGTGCTTCCTTTGCAGGGTTGCGATGAAACCTTTCAACAAYTTTCTGGAATACAATTAATAATAATGAAAAGTCATTTACAAACAGATGACAGCATTAATTTTTCAGCACATTTTAGATTAACTGTCCATATTCCTATAGGACTGAAATTTAATGTATTTATAGTATTATTTCACCATATTTTTTTTTACCAAAATAGGACGGGAATTGTTGTCTTGAGGTCCAAACTTCTTAACACGTTTCCCAAATGTCACATGATGATAGTAAAGAAAGTCATCTCGATCAACAAACGTCTCTGTCATTTCTTCTGGAGTCTCTTCTCTTTTCACCAGTCCATCAATACGAGCACTGAAATGCATTTTTGAAAACCTGGTTATAAAACAGAGAACTTTTCATACAGATTTTATAATTTTCTTCAAAGTTGATCATGTTTGCAATACCTAGAGTAAAATTTCATTGTTCTGTCTGTTTCTGGTCCAGGAGAAGATGCTTTGTAAATATGTTCTGAAAAATAAGATTGAAAAAAATTATTTTGAAGGATACATTGTACAGATGCTTGAATGAAGTTGTATATTATTTTCCCCTCTAATTTTTACCTATTTTCAACATAAATGACCAATCCTCTCATATCCCCAAAATCTCTGTACCCAATTCCAATTTTAAGTGTTTATATTTACCTTGAAGGCARTCAGGTCTCCCAGGTGCAAAGTGTTCAACTATCAAGCCTGTAGTAATGTTATGTGTCTTTGTTTCAAGTTTGTCTATGCGGTGTTTGAAGACTTCTCGCCTCTCAAGGAGATCATTTACTGCCAAGACATTACAAAATCAATTAACTTGTGTTAATTACTATGTAATTAGTAAATAATTTCTTCAAATCCTTACATTCATAATCGCTGCTTATAGATAGTCTTGAGAACAGTCCATCTTTCAAGAGATACTCAGCAAACTTCTCAAGCTTTGCTTTCTTGTACAGTTTGGTTTTCTTGCCATAAGGACACTTTGTTTGAAATTCTAAAAGTCATATAATTATTGAAAGATACTAGTTAAGTAACAAATACAGTACGAATCAAAATAATAAATGGTTTATATCTAGAAACAAACCTTTGAGAGAGATTTCGATTGGGAGAACCCAAGAAGGTGGGAGATCAAAATCTGATGGTTCTTCTTCATCTTCGTCCTCCTCGAGATCAAGTGGTTCATCATCCACTGTTGGAAGCATCAAAAGAGGCTTGTCTGAACCAGGAAACATGAATTCCCATCTTGCTGGATCACCAAGGTCATAAACCAAATCCTAAAAGATTGAACAAGGATTTTTGAARACATGATATTGGACGAAGGACCTTGAACTTTGATTATTATAATTAATAGATATATAACAACAGGCTATAAATTACTGTACTACCTCAAAACCCTGTGTTTTGACTACAGGCCGTCTCTCCCCTCTCTCAAGTTACAGTAAGTCCACTAACATTGACTCTACCATACTTCTAATAGTTTTCTGTGACTACATACCTGAACACCATTAGAACAATCTTGCATATTCACCCAGTAATTYTTGTCATTCCACACACTTTCTATTCCAAGATACTGGGCATGGTTCAAAGGGTGAGCTGTCCCTGTCAATGCCTCAATAAAGAAGCTTTCGGGTACTTCTCTTTTGCCAGACAAGACAAGAACCCAACAATGAACTCGGAGGCCATAAAGCTGGTCAGGCTTGGGCTTCTCAAGCTCCTGCAAAGAGAATGACAGACATATAGTATTACAAAAAATGTCAACATAAAGGTATCGATAAAAGTAATAGAAACCATGGAAATAATTACAAGTATTAGAATATTCACAATATTATTATTAATTTCACTCCGGTCATGCTTATAATGTGCCTTTTGCTTTTTTTTTCTTTTTTTTTAGTCTCCTAAACGTGTTTTAATTTGTTTCCTAATTGCATAATTTGTTGTCCAGAATTGAAACATTGTCTTACAGCAATTCTATTATCTTCTTCTTCCTTTCTCTTTTTCTCTTTTGCTTCTTCTTCAGCCAACTTCTTGTTTTCCACCTTTGCTTCAAATTTACTCCTCAGGTCCTTGGGAGGCTTAACAGAATACTTCTTCATCTCTTTCTTTGTAGTTTCCTTTGACACCTAAGTGTACCAACAGACTTATCATACAGGAAAATGAATATTGGCATATTTTGCACAACAAAAGCAATTGATTGTAGAGATAGTAGACAAGTAAATAATCTACCTCGTCTTTCTTCTTTAACATAGGACAAATTTCTCTAGTTTCATCCATRAGAGTCATTTCTCGCGTTGCATATCCACACACACAGTARGCATCATAACCAGCACCRATCAAAAGGGAGCTAAGTARRATACTAAACTCAAAGGAGTTTCCTTTCTGTTTCCTCAGTACAGTTGTTGAGGAACATAATGTACTTGGCTATAACAAAAAGAGATATGGTATAGTTTTGTGGTCTATTAAACATTATTGATGCCTTAGTTTATGCTATCATTTTTTGTTTATTTAATTTTGAAGTACCACGATATTTGACTAAGTGCTGCTTTTCATCAGGCAATGAKCTGGACTGGATACTTTTGTAATGTGTGCTGATKTGGGTCTATGCACTTTTAAAACCTCTTTCCAGTCAAAAATGCTGTGTTACTTCAAATTATRATGCTCTTTACACAATTAATTCATAATCCTTTTTAGAGTGATTATTGCTATAATTCTTACCAAATCAATGGCAGGGTCTAATGGTTCAAATGTCAGATAATCAGAAACAAACTGGGAGCATCCATCATAGTCATAGAGTTCTTTGTATGGCAGCAATGTTGGACGAACATATGTGCAGATAAATTTCTACAACAACAAATAAAACTTTCAATTATAATTTGAAACTTTTGAGGCTGTTGCATAAGTCACTAAGCACTATTAGAGTACAAACACTAAAACTGTGCAACATAAATACCACTAAATACTGCTAAATTATGCTAATTCTATTGTTCTCTATTCATGTTTAATTAACACTATTTTGTAGTTAAATAGTGGAAAGTGTTGCACACATTTAATGTTTGTACTCTAGTACCTATTACTAAATGTTTGTTTTATGGAGACAGTTAAGTCACTATAAGATTATTAAATAGAAATGATGAATTCACAGTACTGATGGTGGAATGATGACAAAGATGATGATGATCACATGACGTCATAATGCACCGGTTATAACAGTAGTATATCCTTGGCTGGTGAATAAATACCTCAGTTCCACACTCATTGACTGGATTGAGGAGAAGAGGTTTCCTGTCTCTATATAGATGGACAAACTGGCGCCTAAAATTTTCTGCAAATGACAGTACTAAATTCTCTTTGACATTGTTGCTCTTGTATTCATTTGGCAATTCATTGACATCTTCCCTCTTTGACCTGTGAACGAAAATAAATCATTCTCAGCTATTAATACTTGCCTACAAATAACAATATAGGATATGCGTTAAAACCATTTATTTGTTAGCAAAGAGATGAGCATAAGCTTATTCAAAATATCGACTGAAGATGATCATATCGACAACAACATTTGAAGGGATGTCGATAAACTTACGGTAAATCAATGTCTGGGAAAGTTACTGTTATCTTAGCCAGTTCCTTCTGTAAGCTTTCCATAATTTTTTCTTAATGGGRAAGCAATCGAGGATATAAATCAGAAGAAATCGCAATCAAATGCAACGAAAACTTTCTTTCTCCTTCGCTGTTTGGGATTCCTTGGCAACAGAGCTGAGCGGCGAAAATGAGATAGACTGGTACCCAATTGTACGATTATTTTACGAGACAAATCCGACTTTTATTTCGGAATTGTTCGCTCACTTATCGGAAAGCCCTCTGGGGTACCCTTCTAGAGTAAGTTCCTCGAGCAAGAAGTGAATCGTCTTCATAACATTGATGAGGTATACCTCGATGTTCTTCAGGAAATTTAGCTGAAAAATCCATGGTTCTATGCCTTTACAAGGCGGATAAAGGCATAACGGAAAACGGGAACGATGTCTCGAATTTCAAGCAGTTTGGGTAAAAGGAAACAGCTACCTTGCTTTCAAAATACAATTCAGCAGAATGGACATTCCTCGCTACTCAAGTCGTACATGTCTGCGAGATTTGAAGCAAGCCATGATTTATACAGGACTGATTTGCGAGGACACTATGGTTGTGTAAATGCTATAGAGTTCTCAAATCAAGGAGGAGAATTCGTAGTATCAGGTATTACAAAGAGAATTGTTCAATTTAAGTAAAGTGCTGATATCCAAGTATTTTGTTTACTTGCTTTCTGTTGTTTTTGCGAGGATGTGGGAACTTTGGCGTAGGCAGTGATTTTTCAAAACTCTGTTTATTAAAACAAGAAGCTGAATTAAATTTCGATATCTGTATGTGCTAAAGTAGATTCATCAATCTAAGACATTCATGGCATACTTTCACCACAATAACTTAGTTTAGCAGTTACACTTCACTGGTTTTGTGAATATGGTCAGGAATAAGAGAATCATGAGAATGGAGAAATGAGAGTTTGTTACTTATTAGGTGGAGATGATAGACGGGTTCTACTATGGAACATAGACAAGACACTCTATCGAAAGGCAGAGCCAGTTGTAATGAAAGGACATCACAGATCTAATATATTCTGTACTGTATTTGATGCAGGCAACAGACATCTTTTTTCAGCTGGTGAGAAAGTTATCATGTGATACTCTCTTTATTGCCCTTTGTTTTGACCACTGCCGTCTATGAATTTTTTCACAATTATTTAATTATTCATATAGGCAATGATGATAGAGCAATGAGACACGACATTTTGACGTAAGTGACATTTTATTAGTTTACTGTGGCTTTCAATAATTACATTCTTTAATACTTTAATTGATTTTGTGATTGGATTTATAAACTGTTGTCTCAAGACCTGAGTCTTATAATTTTTTTCTACATGTTTTTAGCTTTTTATTCTATTTTAATCACCCACAAAATGATTTTGTATAGAGTTTATTCACTAGATGCACATTATTGCTTGCATTTTAGACAAACAGTGAAGATAAAGATTTTATAATATAATATCATCACTTCTGCATTTACTGTTTTAAAAAAAATCTAGTTAATCTTTCTAAAGAGTTTCTCTCCTTTTTCTAATGCTATTTTTTAAGACTGGAATGAAGTCAATCCTATGTCAGTGTATATTGTTTGTCTCAAATGAAAAAAATAATAAATAAATTTATAAATAAATTAAGAATGAAAACAATAAAACACTTATATTTTTTAAGATTTTACACTTATATTTTTTAAGATTTTTTTCCTGTAATTAAGATATCCTGCTTACCAATTTAGTTTTGGGATATATTTTGCTTACCAGTTAATTAAGATTTCAGCCCAATGTTTTAAATTTGATATTCTGACATCAAATTCCAAATAATAGTATGAAAGGGAAGCATTGGACGTAAAAATATATTTAGATCTAAAAAGCAACTGTAGTGGTGATAATTTGCCATTGAATTACTAGATGTTATCAAAGTTCATCAAGTACCCTCAATGGTGCATCCTGCAGATAATGTCACTTCCCTTTACAAACAAACAACCTAGTTATATTTAGTATTAGTACAATTAATTATCATGGCTAACTGTTGGAGGTCCCTAAAAGGGACCACAAATTCTCATCATTATCATCTTGAGCATGAGAGGTCCAGCAATATCTCCCCCAATTAATGATACATATGAGAATTATCGTCATAGTCTTGAGGTAGACTAAAACAAGTTGAAGATTCTGAAAGAGGCCTATATGGCCCTTATTATATCAGCATGTACCACCCAGGTAGCTGTTTCAACAAATTATTATTCATATTTTCCAGCCGTGAGACATTGGGTTTCTATTTCCATGACCACCCTGTGTATGGCCTGAATGTCCATCCAGATCAAGAGAACATTTTTCTAACTGCATGTGATAATGGCAAAGTGCTGCTCTGGGATGCAAGAAATGCATCACAAAGTAAGATACTCTTGCAGCAATTAATGCRTATATTAAAATAAGTTGATTTGTGTGGCTCAGKTTCAGGATTCCAGTTTCCCCCTTCCAGATCATATTAGACAGCTGTTTTAAGTTATTGAAAACCTGATATATTTTTTTAGCCTGATATTACTTATGACAAAATGATTAATTTAAAACAAATTATCCAAAAGGGAGATTGATTAATTAATTAATTGATTAAAAATGATTAATTTAAAACAAATTATCCAAAAGGGAGATTGATTAATTAATTAATTGATTAAAAATGATTAATTTAAAACAAATTATCCAAAAGGGAGATTTGAAAAACTGCAATAATGGCTAAGGTGTAGCAGGCATCTCTCCAGCTTTTTCACTTTTTTATAGTCTTTGACTTCTGGGGATTATGGGATAATATGGCCAAGAGGTCCATAGAGATCCCAAAGAGGAAAAATAAAGGGCTGGCTATGGAGGAGCCTATCAAAGATGATTGGTAGATAAAGGTGTTTATTACTGTGTTGTTGTTTTAGGTGCTTCTCAGTGTATTGCAGACTATCATAGGTCTATTGCATTCCATGCTGCTGTTTTCAATCCAGTTGACCCAGTTTTGATTGCCACTGCCAACTCATCTAAAGGAGTTCAGCTGTGGGATGTACGATTTCCAAAGAGGTGATGAACATACATAAATCTTTTCCGTCCAGGGCAAGMAAACTTTTGCCTTTACCGCTGCTAGTATTCTTAAAAGAGCTCAATGTGTACTCCTTCACTAAAAACTATAATAATAAATTATAACAGGTTATTTGTATCCCAATAGGGTACTTAAAGAATTTAGCAGCACAGTGCCAAAAGTCTGTGCTATGGGAGTGAAATGGAATGCCACAGGGACATTGCTTTCTGCATTATGCAGACGACTTCCTCCAGTTTTGTACAGCATTGAACAATCCTCAGCTCTGGTTGAATTCAAGCATCCTGGTTATAAYAATATATGCACTATGAAGAGTCATTGCTTCGCTGGAGATAAGGATCAGGTAAGGTCATCTTTACTTGCGACTTGTCATGTGTGACTTGACGTACAAGACAGGATAATTGTACCATGTACTCTACTACTAATAGCTGGCTTTGATTTCTGACTTGTTTCAAGCTTTTGACCCCAGGCTCAAAGTCCTGTGACACGTCTTGGGGATGACATGTACACTTCACACTTCAAGTCATGTGCAGCAAGTCACATTGTTTAATCCTAGGAAATGCATAGTTTGTTTTCAACATAAAAGCAATTAATTTGCACATTTTTATTTAAAAAGTGTTGGGAATATTAACAGATTTAATGAAAGAGAAATATCCAAAATATCCTTAATATACATATTCTTGATAATGTTGGTGTCCAATGTTATATCTCTAAGTTTTGTGATAGCAGACTTGCGAATTTTGCCTCAGTATTCACACATAAAGGAATCAAGACGAGGCACTGTGCATAAAGCTCAGTCATTCATGAAAAGACAATAGTTTTTCACAAATTGATTGAGCTTTAAGCACAGCGCCTTATCTTATTCTTTTGACTACTGAGGCGAAATTTGCAAATCAACTATTGGACACAGTTGGCATTATACATGTAAGAAGAATAAATGCAGGATTTATTTTTGCTATTTAGTTTAGCTGGCCTCATGGTATTATAATTCTACTCTGTATCTGATCACCTTTTCCAACAAGCACCTTTATGTCAAGTAACATGACATAAGTAAATGTATTATTTTTAATACGATATCTTCACATTTTTTCCTCAGTACATTATTTCAGGTTCTGATGACTTCAATGTATATTTATGGAAAGTTCCAACTCTGCCAAGCAGAAATGARAAACTTGTAACAGTTGATCGTGCAAAGATGGTTCTCTCAGGACATCGCTCTATTGTCAATCAAGTTCGCTTCAACCCTGCTACACATATGGTGATTTCTGCAGGAGTTGAAAAAATTATAAAGGTAGATATTTAGAGAAATATAGAGGAGCTAAGGACACCTTTTGGCTTGAAATAATTACCTTTCAATAACAAAATAAGTCACAGTGATCACACATTGTTAAAACTCAACGTTGTTGTCTACAATCAATGCTTTGAATACCATCAATAAAAATTTTAAAGTTATTTGAAAACCAAATTGAATGAAAATGATATAAAAGGTAAAAGATTACAGATCAGTGTGTATTTTCTAAAGGAATTTTTCTTTAGGTTTGGAGTCCCTGGTATTTGCCTGGTGCGAAAGGAGACTTACATAAAAAAGAGCAAATGACTGAATCAAGGAGAGAGCTGTACAGTCATGATGATTATGTTGATCTGGTTCTTGATAGTGGTCGGCCATTGACTCATGAATATGAAGGGGGATCTGTTGATGAAGACCCAAGAATGTTAGCGTTCTTTGACACGCTTATTCAAAGAGAACAAGGAGGATGGAATTCAGATAGTGACAGCAACTTATCAGAAGATGACTTTTATTCAAACTTTTTAGTACAGAGTACTGAAGCAAGTGACAGTGATTCTGGCAGGCTCAGCTCTCAAAGAGTTCGGGACATCTTAGAACAAGAAACAAGAGACTCTGATGATAGTGATGAAACATCACAAGCTGTACTGAGAAGAATGAGACGGTTACGCAGGGCAGCTTTTTTAAGGGGGTTAGTTCGGGGTAGTGAGCGACAGGATGAAGAAGAAGGCGAGCAACATCCTGCTGATGCACAGAGCGTCTTTATCCAACATTTGACAAGAGAAATTATGAGAGAAGCACTTGAGTCTTCATCAGACTCCAGTGATTCTGAACCAACTGTTACTTTAGCATTTCCTGAAGAACTTGCTGAAAGTGATAATAGTGAAAATACAATTACTGAAAGGGTAGAGTTTCATCGATCTAGGACACGTCAAGGGAGACAATACAGAAGAAGAGACTCCAGCCCGGATAACAGTCCAAATACTAGTATATCCAATGAAAATGATATCAACTTCACTGAGAGAAGACTCAGAAGAGAGGCATCATCTAGTTCTTCTTCTGAAGAAGATTCTCATGAGGATGAATGCAGAATCAGTCAGCTACATGAAAATAAACTTATAAGAAGGACTTTGGATGATTCAGAACGAATGAACACAGCAACTACAAATGCAACCAGTGATGGGCCATCAACTTCTTGCTACTCTGGAAACTCTGTTGTTCAGGAAAATAGTGCCTCAGAAAGATGTTGCTTTGATACAAATGACGATCACGTGAATAATGGACATGTTGATAATTGTGAAAGTGTCATGCAACATGCAGATCCAGGTGAGCATMGGACTGATGTGCAAGATATGCATCCAGACAATTCTGTGAATCATAATGGACACAGATTTGATGCTCATAATAGTCAAGCAATAAAAACGCACCACACAGCTGAAGAACAGGAACACCCTTCAGACAGTAAACATGAGGATTTGTTTACTCAGTAATAACATTAAGATGGTTATGTAGGAAGTTATATTGCTATGTAGACTCACTCCTGTTGATTTTTTTCTATTGCATGGGCATAGTGTATGCAACTGTGATTCAAACTGTCAGCAGAACCTTCTATCAGGAGAAACAAGAAAGGGCCTTGAAGTCAGTCTGATTAGTATGGTTAATGTAATATTTTAATTAACTTTATACTTTAAATAGGTAAATTCAGACTACTGTATTCTTTGCCTTTTCTTGGGATTTACTGTTTCTATTAGCCAGCAGTACTTTCAAATAAATAAATGTGCAGTATTGACCATATAAAATGGTCTCACTGTAGATATCAAAAAGATATACTCAACTTTAGTTCCCGGCTTACAGTTTACAAAGTTCTACCTTGAAGGGTACTTTATAGTTAGAAATTTCGATGAGATAAACTTGACTGCAGATCTGTAGTTTTAGTTAAGCAATATAGAAATGTTAGTTCACTAGTACAGAGAAAAATCCTCTAAAAAAAAAAAACTTAGAAAATGTAATATTATACTTGTATTCATTTTTTATAAATTTAATGTTACAAACAAAGGTGTATAAGGTTTGCGTTAAAGGTCTAAAGAAAACTTGAAAATACAGATAGAATAAATTATGAAATAGAATAATAAATATAAATGTTTTGAATAAAGAAACAACTGCATATTATTGTCCCTGACTAAATAGCACTAGTAACTCGTGTTGCAAGAGTTGTGTAACTATAGCCTCCTTTGCAGACACCTCTCTTGGTCGTCCTGATTTGCTCATTATGAACTCTGTAAGGGCTGCAACAGGACCAGAACGGGACCAAGAGGATACCACAGGGATCCAAAAAGGAAAAAAAATGCAGCATTTCTGCAGAGGAGACTATACTATCATGCACCAACATGACAACATTTGTCAAACAGGGAAGATGTACAAATACACAAGCAATAATTGTATATTGTCATTTTGGGTCTAGATTTGTTGCTATTTTAGTTGATTGAGGTCTTAGTCTTTGTTGATTTGCCATGCTTTTATGTCATCTTGTCGTATTTCAGGAAAGCCCCCAAGTTCAGCTGTAGTGTAAAATCCTGTAAAGATATTAAGTACAAATTTTAAGAAAACAAGAGGTCTTGTCAGTGTRGTACATGGCATTGGCCAGACCACAGGGAACCCATACCACAAGCACCTTAAGACAAGTACCTTCTAGAATTGATGGATAATTTTCATGCATCCATTTTCTGTAATCTGAAATAATCATGAGAAAATAATTCGTTAAGATACTTCAAACAATTTATAGACAAGATCATCAAAGTTGATCTGATCCAAACCTTGATCTCTGTTCATATTTTGCCAGACTCTAAAGGATGCCAAAAAGGCCACAACTTCGCCAACGATTACTGCACGAAGTACAAACCATTTTCGCCGTGCACTTATCCTCATAATCATCAGACCTGCAAAATATGCATTCGAAATTTCATCTTTCCATGTAGTCTAGTCCGGCGTGTTTATCAAATGTTTATCGATCTCTGTTCATATTTTGCCAGACTCTAAAGGATGCCAAAAAGGCCACAACTTCGCCAACGATTACTGCACGAAGTACAAACCATTTTCGCCGTGCACTTATCCTCATAATCATCAGACCTGCAAAATATGCATTCGAAATTTCATCTTTCCATGTAATCTGGTCTCAGTGTAATGTAGTCGACTTTCGAAATGCTGTCGGTGTGGGACTAGCACTAGTTACGTGTCCTCTAAGACAACGCGGGCTCATTTCAGACAAAATGGCGTAAAATAGAAAGAAAAGAGAACTTGATATTTTCACCCGCATTTTTGTCGAAGTAATCGCTTTTTTGTCCTGAAAGATGGACYCAGGGTTACACCACTCTCACGAAGAAGCTTACGGGCAAAGTTTCTATCAGAARCCGAACTTAGATCCGCAAGYTTCAGGTATTTACTCCTACAATAGTAGCATCGCTACCGGTCTACCATCAAAAGAGCCAACAGAGAGATTTTTGCGTTATATACCAAATAAGGCACCTATGTCTGCAGGGCAAGTAGCAATAGATATAAACGATGGAGGGCATGAGAAAGATGTCAGAGGATTGGATAAAGTGAGGGGAGGTAAGTTGCAATTTCATTCACTAGACAAAATAATGAGTAAGGAACCATTTCACAAACCATTTAAGCTTAACATTCACTCATTCATTATTTTTTAATTTTTTTGTTTCTCATCTCTTTTTTTTTCTTCTATTTTAATTTGTTTCTCATCTCTTTTTTTTTTCTTCTATTTTAATGATTTTCTTTCCCATTTTTAACTCGGAGATTGCGTAGCAATCGTAGAGTTATTGGGAGGGGACGGCTGTCACTCGCTCGATCACTTTCCTGTAAACTCGAGCCTGTGATGTCTTTGTCAGCAGTTATTCATTTAATTATATTAATGTATTCTACTTAATTATTATTTATCATATCTAATTTTTCTTTACTGGTTTCCCTGTGCTATATCTGATTGAATTGATTTATTTTTTGGCAAATAAAGAAATCAAAGAAATGGGTCACCTGGGATCTGAACCCGGGCCTTCTGGATTGGAAATCAAAGGCACTACCGATTAGGCCACGCGTGCTAATGTTACGTGACATCGGGTAGACTTGTCTTTTAACTGATGGGCGCTCGCCCGTGCTTGTCTAGAATTCGAAGTTCAAACTATAAGATTTTAACGAAAAAATCTGCATTCAAATGTCGTTTACATAAAATTCTATTTGTAAAGTAAATCTAATTTGATTCGTATTGTTCAGTCACAAAGGAAGCATGAGGAAGACTCGCCGATCCGACATTAAATTCGTCTCGAAAATCATTTTACGTGTGTTTTATTTATCCACGTTCATCTACAATTCAAAAAATATATTCGCTCGCTACCGTACTATTACATTGTAATATTTGATACATAGTTCATTGTGTGGTTAGACATCGATAATACTATTTTGAGCCGCTACGGAAACTGGCAAACACTAAAAGCAACGGTGCGTATAGTTGGTCGGGGATTCAATTGAACCAACTTTCAGTTGTTTAATTCACCGTTACGGAGTAAGCATTCTTACAAGAATTGCTAGAAAAAAATAATAAAAAATAATAAAAAAAATAATAATAAAGAACAAAAAAAAAGAAAAAAAACCATATGTTATCATTTGGGATTCGAACCGTGACCTCTTGATCAGTAAGCCTGTGTTTTAACCACTAGGCAACGATGTCAAGCTTTAAACTGCCTTGGCTAAGACTGGAATTTATTTCGCCGTCACTCGCCGTGCTTATCAACACAGCCGAAGTATTAACTAGTAAGATTGTAACGAAAAAATTTCATAAATCGTTTACTTAAAATTGTAATTGTTAAAGTAATTATAATTTGATTCATCGTACATCTCTCGTTCTGTATCAATCTCCGAGTTATGCTGCCATTGGCTGCTTGTTTATAACGTGTGTTTCTTAATAGTGTGTTATTTTTCTTGTAGACCATAAACTGAGATTACGAGCACCACAAGAGTCAAGTAGCAAAGCACTTTCTGTAAGCTTGATTATGATAGTATATATATATATGTTATTTACTGGCTATAGGTCAGTCCGTATAGGAAAACACTGACCGTGGTCTTGACAGTATGGACCGACCTATAGCTGGTAAATAACATATATGTATACCGAAAAAATAATATGAAAATACTGGAAACACACTATTTAATAATTGCCATGTTCATTCAGAGATAGGGCTTGCCATCTACTTTAAACAGACAAAAATATTATATATAAGTATAATTTGGCTGCTTGTGCTGTTATCTTCTGATATATACAGGATTAGCTAAAGGATTTTAGTAGTAAGAGATTGAAACACTTGCTGTGCTTGCTTCTTTTGTGCTGTCTGTTTTACACCATATGTAGTATGCAACTACAGGTACTTTCGTTTGTGGAACCTTATTTGGCTCTACTCCAACTAAATATGTTCCTAACACCCAAAGAGGGGTATAAATTCTTAGAACTAAAATATTCTTTCTTTCTTCTTAATTCTAGAGTGTTATTAAACCATTTCCAAAAAGAACCTATAAACTGATAAACATTGTAACCAAGGAATTRAAAACAGTTCTTGCTGAAAAACAGGTCAGTGTTTATTTTCAAGATCCTTTTGTTGGGATCCCTGTCTTCCTTCACTTAAATCACAGGGATCCATCCCATCATGTGGCGATCATTGTGGTTAATRTTTCTTTCCTTTTAATTCCCAGGGATGGAAAATATTCTGGTTGCTTCTGTTAAATTTGGTATTAACATTTATACTCTTAGTTTATTCTGGGTCATCTAACAGCTTAGGTAAGTAGAACAGGTTGAGTTTCTGGTGACTTAATGTATGAGCATTGTAGAGTTAACGTACTAAAAGTGTGAAACAAATARTACTAATTACTACTAATAGTATTGATTAGACAATTAAAAACAAAGGAATTARCATAGTTTTTTACTATTTTACACTATTCAAGCTTCACGGATTAAGTGTTTTCACTCTAAAGCAGAAATTATATTATAATTATATTGATTCTGGATTCAAATATTTGGATATCAGTATTATGCTAAGAATCAAGGCACATGTTCATCTAACCCAAGGACTACCTTTAACCTTTGCTTGTTAAGCTTTATAAATGTAATAAGTGTAACCGTAGGTAGTGCTGTTGGGGAGACTCACCTTTTTCGAAAAAAAAAAAAAAAAATACAGTTGTGCTGATAAACACAAATTGTATCTTTAATTGACAAAAATGCCAGTCTCCCCATCCCTCATCCTTCCCCCTTTAGACAATGCTGCACTATCACTATTAAATAATTAAATACAGATGTTTCTCATTTGCAGCTTTACAGTCTTTTGCTTATCTAACAATATTTGATATTTTAAGGTGAGACAATTCAGAGTTTATTTAATCAAATATACATAAAGATGGCATAGAATTATTGTTTAATATAAATTATGTTTTTTTTAGTTTGATGACATGTCTTTTGTCCTTGTGGGTATCACTTCAGAAGTCTACACCTGCATTTTCATATGGGTAGGTATTTTCATGTGATTCAACTTGTAATCTTTCTTCCTCCCGAGAAATGAGTCTTGTGCACTGTCCAATAATGTAAGATTCCTGTGGAGTTTTATTAAGCTTTCAGTGGAATTCATGAATGAATGTGACCGTTTTTTTAGGTTTGACAGATATGAAGTACTAGCAGTATTCTCATCAACTATGTTAACGATGTTTGGTGCATTATTTATATTCAAAGAAAGGTATAGAAATTTATTTCATAGACTACACCAGTACTTATCAAATGCATAAAATTTCTTAAGAGGATTATTCAATGAATGTCAGTGAAATTGTTTAAGCTTGATGTTGTGATCCCTATTGTTACTATATATTTGCTTTTTGTGTTTAGTACGGAAAGATTATTAATGCCTGAAGAAGTTAAAACGTAAGTTATATTCATTATGTAGACAAGTAATATAATAAAAGCGATATTTAGAGGTATTGATATTGTTTTATGTACAGCCTTTTGCAAAAATTATGAGAATTGTTGAAATATCTAAATATCATAATATCGAGTGCATGATGGGTAATCCCGCACGATGCCCTTAGTCCCTTGTCTTTGTAGTTTAGTGGGCTTTTTTGGCGACAGACTTATCCGTAGTTTTGAACATTTTCTTGATGTCAACAATGAATTATTCTAGCAAAGCTGCGTGTACCAGACAATATATGGATATGGATAATATGATATTTAGATATTTAGACAATTCTCATAATTTTTGCAAAAGGCTGTATATTTATATATATAAAAATGTCTCATAATTTGTGCAAAAGGCTGTATCAAAAACACCCCAGAAATTATGGTATATCTCTATTATATTTTGTCATGATTGCCTAGCATCAGGTTGTTACAGACAAAATATCAGCGACGGTATCCCATAATTTCTGGGGTGTTTTTGATATTTGGTTAGGTATATTTATATATATAAAAATGTCTCATAATTTGTGCAAAAGGCTGTACATGTAACTTTACTGCATTATATTTTATATCTTTTTTCTCAGGGATAGTTTGTTTATTCTTGCTGTTATTGGTCTTGTGCTGCATCTTCTTGTAACATTTGTGGCGGGTAATAAGCCATTGAATGAAGTATCAAAAGGTAAAGAGAATGTAATCATGAATTRCTGTAATTGATCAATTGAATATTATTAGTGAAATAAGAAAAGTGACTGAAAGAGATGAATGAAATATGATTGCAATATACAAGGAATAAATGAAGTAAATGGTTAAAATGAGTAAATAGATGCATGAACAAATACATGAATTTATGAATGAATGAATGGTTTAAATGACAGAGTCATAGCTACATGAAGTTTAGATGGAACTTGCCTCTGTGAAATTATCCAAATCATTACAATAACTTCATTCTGAGGTCATAAATGCACTTGGTATCATTTTRGATAGTCTTACTAATAATCTGATATATTATAAAATGATTTATTTTTCTTTACTAGCTGCAGCATCTAATTGGCTGCAAGATGCAGTTTCTGATTTAGGACACAGGTGAGTCTAGTTATACAAGGTGTGTACAGTAGCTTTATTTAACCATTATGTCTTACAAAGCAAGCATAGCAATASGTTGTGCAAGAAAACAGTACTGACGACACAACAAAGTGTTGAACTGAGTTGTCAAGATACACTAAGCATAAAAGAAAAGATCTGTGCTCATTTTTGATTCAATGACGCCTTTTCAATGCTTTGTTTGTGTTAATCTTTCCCAGTTTTCTGGCTATGCTTTGATGCCATTCTTACCATGTTGATTCACTGATTGAAAACAGGGAAGAATGAGATGGAAAGCTCAAAAGTTAAAAAATATACACATCTGCCTATTTCTTTCAGTATTTGTGGCTTTGCACCAGTTCTTGGTAGAATTCTTGTACAAAAGATTAATCCCATAGCACTTCTTGGCATTGCTGGTGCTACATGTGTTCTTGTCACTGATGCTTCTGTTGACTATAAGTAAGTACAATAACACAAGTTTCCCATCACAAAATAAAAACACCACAAAGTGTTTGCATCGGCATGCAGCTTACTAGTAATGACAGGTGTCAATTTTCTTCATTTTATTTTAGTAAATCATTCATAACTGACAGTCTATGTGCAATGATCATGACATCCATCATATGGGCAACCATGTTACCTTTAAGTATCTACAGTGGACAAATACTTTTGCAGGTAAGTTGTAATTTCCACTGGATGAGGAATGRAAAATGTGGAAAATGTGCCTGCCCACCCTAGTACAGTGCTTGCAGTCATTCAGAATTTTGTATCAAGGAGAAATATTTTGTAACATGATGTTAATATAGTAGCCAGTTAAGTCAATTGTTAATAAAATAGTCTGTTTATGGTAGTCAGCTAGACAATAAGCTCCCAGTGTGTGTGTGAGAAATAACAGCTTATTTAATGACTTTATTGGCTGTCCAATATCTTTGTTTGAAGTGACAAATCTGCCGACTAAAAGAGGGTCATAATATTAGCTAAAATTATTTGCCTTTTAGACTTGCCCACCTGATATAATGAACCAGATAGACAAGTGTTTAAGAGAGGTATAGTAAATAGTAACTTGTATTGATATTATTGTGCTGTTGTGTATTGTGATAAATCAAACATRAACTGTTTGTTTCATCTCTCAACAGGCATCAACTTTAGATGGAGTCTTAGAATTTAGGAATGAACACTTTTGGACTGTCTCTTTTGGAAAAATGGTAAAAGAAATGTCATAATGCATTACTTTGCCACCCAATTCAAATCCTGCGTTAAAAAAAGGAATTTTGTTTCTAAGAATTAATTAGCAAAATGAAATGAAATTTGGTGGTTTGAATCAGGTGGAAATGGTTAAATACTGTTATTGATTTGTTTAAAAACAACTCTTTTCAGGCTGGCTCTCTCCATGTCAGAATACGAAGAGATGCAAATGAGCAAATGGTTCTTGCTCATGTCACCAACAAACTCTCAGTTCATGTTACTTACCTTACTGTACAAGTCTTTAAAGATGACTGGATCAGGTCTACTAGTGGAACAAAACTAGCTTCAATACCCTCTACATTTCCTCGTAATCCAAGCCTTCCAAAAATGAGTCAATCACCAAAAACTRCAAATGTGTATAATATGAATATGAACAATCCAGGTCATTCGCATTTTGCTGGAAAATCACAGCAGAACTTAACTGGAAGTCCTTTGGCTTCTGCCTATGTCACACCTAGTAAAATTCAGTGAGAGTGCACTTACCCCCCCCCCTCTCTCTCTCTCTCCCTCTCCCTCCCCCCTTAGCATTAATTTTGGAATCTACTCATGAAAAAATTAATAATAATTGTAAATATTCCATAGTAAATTAAAGACAAAGTAGAAATGAGTGCTGTTATGTAAAGTTATTAAACATTGTAGATATAATAACAGAAAATTTTGATTTTGAAATTATTCCATTTTGTACTGTGTCCTCATGGGCATCAGTACTATTATTTTATTTTACAAACTTTTCAGTAAAATCAGACGTTTTGATTGGTTGGCTTTCGTGTGTTRTCAAAGTATAGATACACAGATTACGTCAAAACTAATTGTTTGTTGTATAAAACAGATAGATCTCATTTTTCCGTGCGTGTGTACTCTAATAGATACACAGATGACGTCAAAATGTAGCGAGAACAACAGTCACGCACTCGACTGTGTACATCTGTGTATCTATTAGAGTACATACGCACGGAAAAATGAGATCTATTTGTTAAATAATTAAATCTCATTAAAGTACAATTGAACATTTACTCAGTTGCACTGTATTGTATATCAAATCAATGAGGAAGATGTGATTAATAGAAAACGGTGCAACCATTTTTGAATAGCATTATTTTGMAAAAATGTGTAGTTATGAAACATCTGTTTTAGAAATATAGTCCACATTTTTATTTTTTGTATATAGTTTGTAGCAAGTCTTGAGTTTTATAAAAGAATGACAATCAGTCCTGGCAATTCTCTTCCTCTTAGCTTTTTAGGTACTGTGCATTTTTGAGGTCATATTATGTACTGTATGCCAGGTCTTAGACACAAATCTTTGTCATTCCTTGGCCATTCAGGATCTCAATCCAGTAACCATCAGGGTCTTTAATGAATGCAAGCCCCTTCATTTTGCCTGTTGAGTGCAATAGTAGGTTTTTATATTCAAATTGATGCCATCATCACAATGAGAAAACTCTCACCGACATCAACTATTGTTCCATGATAGACCAGATATATATGGAGTTAAATTTTCCCTGTTATAGCGCTAGACTGCTGCGTTCACTCAGAATATTGTTTGCTGTGGTTATTGTTGCACCTCAAACATATTAAAATTATCAAACTCAGTTACCATCATTTGGCTTCTTGATAAACTCAACTCCAAGCTGTTCAAATCTTTCACAAGCTTTGTCAACATCAGGTACTTGGATTCCAATGTGACCTGCACAACAACATATGATAAACAAACAAACATGCTTTGTTTCAAAGCTTTTAGAAAGCATTGATATTGGCAGATCCAGAGGGAGTGTGCCCTCAAAAGAATTTACGGTATTTTTTTGATGTAAAACTTAGTAATAATATACTAACCAAATCCTTTTGGCTCTGAATTGCCATTGTGGTAACATTGATTAGGGTCATTTTCTGTACCCCAGTTGCTACATTAAAAAAAATAAAAATAAAAAAGCTTGATGTTAAGGGAAAATGGCTGTTATGAGAGCAAGTATTAGCTTACTGTGTGAGTTCCAGAGTAGCTCTTCTCATGAAGACCCATTTTGTTCTTTCCATAGGGTCTTTTGGCATATCYTCCTCTTTTTCATAACCCAGAAAGTACAATGAAAATGACATTGCATCAAAGTGGTATCTTGTCAACAACCTGTGGATAGAAAACATATTTTGTTGTCAAAAGTAGGCGTTGTGGCATCTGCAAATTTCATCAAATGTTTTGTGAGAAATTATGAAAATTATAAAACTTATTGTTCTTTTAATATCAAAAGGATCTCTTTCAACAAATATCGGATAGAAGTGCGTGGCGACTATGACGTCACATGTCAACACACCAAAAAAAAAGAAAGAAAAGAAAAATCATAAAGATTCTTAGCTTCCACTCTTATCTACATCAAAGTGTCTTTCCTGCATTTTAGTTTTGTATTGCCTGCCTTAACTCAAATGATTTTCTAAAAACTCAAAACAGATTGAGAAAATTTCAATATCCGACGAGCACCTCATTCCAAGAACGCGAGAATAGAAGTCCAACGAAACTCTAGGGTCCTTAACGCGCAGCATTGTTTGCTGAAAAATGAAGTCTTTAGTACTGGCATCGGGAGYGCTTATCGCTTTTTCTACGTCTGCATCTGAAAGAGCCATGGTTTCCAATGGACGACTAGATGCGAGCTATTGCACACCTATATCAACCTATAACAGCCAGGCGTTCCGCGTTAACAGTAGTAAAGACTAGAGAGAGGTCTGGTACTACATAGACCAAAATGGCGCTTATTAGAGGTATTACTGCCCTAGCAGTTTCTGCGGGAATWATGGGAGGTGGATGGCTTTTAATGAAAGTAACTACACCAGATAAAGAAGCGATGCTAAAGGTAATCTTCTTAAAGTGCTGTTTATAAGCTATTTTAATTCTGATTATTCTTAGAAATTCAATTAAGTATTGCATAACTGTGTTTTCATGTTACAGAGTATTATAAGTGCTTTGGTAACTCTGTTCTGAAAGAGAATTGTATATTTTCTGTAGGCATTCAGAGGTTTCAAATGATTCTTTTTTAACACCAGGTTGTTTTGTATGTGAAGGGACTGTACATGTGTAGAATTTTTTAAGATATGCACTATTAAATTTAAAAATGCTTGAACATCTTGGGACTTATGTTCTCTCATCTCTATTCCATGTATTTTYTCTAGAGATTATCAAAAGATGAAGTCAGCCCAGAAAGAATGGCAGAAACAGAAAGACGAAATGCTGAACTATTCAAAGTATTAGCTGATAACACAAAACTTGATAGACCTGTGTGGCAAGTTCAAAGTCGACCTGCATTGGACGAGGCATTGAAAAAAAAGTGACGAAAGTTACCAAGAAAAAGAAAATCGACATTGCATCATCAATGACTGTTTGTGGCCATCAATTTGACCACAGGAAACCCAAAATATTTGACATGGCTATCAACTTCTTTGGTATGGGAAGAAGTGCAGCTGTGCTATTTATTGATTTGATTCAATCCCTTTAGTTTTGACAATTTTTCAACTAAAAGAAATATAAAAGGGTAGCATCAACACCCTTGATTCAGCAGAATGTGTTTGAGTGAAGTCATAGCATCATAGCCATTACATACGATATCAGATATTCTAACATTCAAAATGGCAACTGGCAACTGTTGCTTCAAAATACTTGATATTAAAGATACATTCTGGTTTTCTCCCTTGTATTTGTGTTCTAGTCTGAGATGTTTCATGTAAGCTCCTTTACCCATATTTCATCATCTCTCATTTCACTAACAGGCACAAACCAATGGGAGCGGTGAAGGACTCTTAATTAAAAATGAGAAGTGAAGAAGAAAAGAGTGATAAATTGAATGAATGTAAAATATTGAAGATTGTCCTTAAACAGCCATTTATAGCCTGTGTTGCCAGAGGTCTAAAGATTTGAGGCCATTTGGCAACACAGGCTAGATTATTTGTAATGATGTTATTATTAATGCAGTATACACTCCAATATGCTATAAAGGCAGCATTCTTTACCAGCTAACAGTAGCTAACCGAAGACTTTTATTGTATTTTGTAAAATTGCTAAATAAATAATAGTAAAGACAAACTACTTTCAGTCATGCATCCCACCCAAATGATCAGATTCTAGTAAATGTTGAGACTTGTCTGATATTACATGGAACATAGAAAGCGCAAAGAGCGAGTCTCCATTTTGAATCTAAGATCATCATGGTTTAGAAGTTTTTTTAATTTTTATGAGAAATGGGAATCTAATTCATTATTCATTCATCATCCATTTTTTCTTCAATAGTTTCATATAATTGTGCATGCCTTTAATAATCTCTAAGGTTCTTGAGCTGTTTGCGCTACTTTATCATAGAAATATTTCACAGCTTCGCTGTCTCTCTCGTCAAGACCATCAACAAAACGATTTTTGTCTTTGTCAATCCAAGTTYTCAACCATTTGTCAAACATTCTAAGCTGGCACTGAAATAAGTCTTGTCCRTTGTTATCTCCAATACCTAGAGAATCCATTGCATCGTATAGAGAGCACACTTGATGTGGTACAACTTTTGAAACTAAGGAATCCATAAATTGATAGCGTTGATGAGGTCCCCAGTTATCAAACCACGACCAAACTATTGCCATCTGTTCTTCAGTCTTGGTTGTAAATGCGCTCATTGTTCACAGCCACAAAGATATTCATGTAAGTCAATACAGTTTCTTTAATCATGTTGCACGAAAACACTACTGTATTYTTCACCTTTTCGCAATTTCAAGGCGGAAAAAAGTCGAAGGGCACATTTTATGAAMCAGAAAAACAACTACYACAAGGCGTTCCTTTCAAAACCGAGAAAAACTAGGTAGGGACCTGGGTRCTAATTTTAGAAATCAAAATGGCGGACGCAGTAACTGCAATACTGACCCAAAGAAATGGAGAATGCAAAGAATATAGAGAGGCTTTAACGAAGGAAACAAATCAAGAAGGAGGCAAACTAGAYGKTCTTATTAAATCACTTACAAAAATTCAAAAAGATGTCAATGATAGTTTGACAGAATTAGTTGAAGAAGAGAGAGGTCAGTCGAGAGGAACAGCAAACTCCCAAAAGCATGATCAAGGTAATTTCTTTAAACATAATACAGTACCTGACATCACATAATGTACATTTCATATTTACTAAGTCAATTATAATTCTGTGTTTCTGTAAAAGTTGATATCGATTTATTTGTTTCGCAGATGATAACTTAAATGATGATGATGATGATGAAGACGATGACGATGACAGCAACCAAGCAAATGTGTCAAATACTAATGGAAATGATAGTGGACCTGTTAATAAAAAGCTTAAAGTATGAMAGTTTTTGCATGCTATTTTACACTTTGCACCATGTATATAACACTAACCTACAAATAGATGTGATGTGATATATTATTTATCGCCAGCGGTAAGTCGGAAAAATTTAACAGCTAAAAAAGAATGCGACAGAAAGGGGGTGCACACRACTTTGGAGCTTTCAGGGGGAGGGCATAGGTTTTCGAAAGTCAACTTAAARACTGGGAATCTAACCTGAATATAAGTGCCGATTTGAAGTCATTCAGTTACGTCATTTTAGGATTTTCGGAGATTTTATGTGTACAATAATATGAAAAAAATAATAATTATCTTAACTATTGGGCTTTCAAGGTCAATTGCAGCCGGATTCAGTACTTGCACGAAGTAGATTGACCTTGGCTTACTTTGAAAAACAGCTCAAATTTATTTGTACGTTTTGAATTTTTATTTCGAAACCACTGAAACCCACCTTGGAAAGTAAAAAATGCATCATAAAATCAAATTAAGCTAGATATTCTTTGTTATCGTCGAAACAGCGCAGGGATTTCAGATTGGAAGCTCGAGTAAAGGTGAGTAAATTGTTGTTGATTTCATTGAAATAAACTTTTCATTTCTTGCCAAATGAAAGAGAGATCTCCAGTATTGGCGTTCGGCTAGAGGAACCCAAAAACACTGTTGAGTACGCATCACAAAATACAGATRATACCTAAGGAAACAAAGGAGCATTTAGTAAGTTACGCGGATTATTGCGTAATTTACAGGAACACAGACTTCACTAAAACGCTGTAGGCATACTTTTAACAAGAAAGTAACGGAAGCTAGCGGAGGTTTTCCCAAGTTAGGGCTAATATGATCAAGAAAAAAAGTTTCTGACTTTCTAGGTTGTATAGCGATGTAAAAAAATGAAATGAAACCGAAAAAAGAATGAAATTTCAGCATACGGACTCCAGCTATATGATGATTAACATCCCAACTTTATATTTTGTCTTCCTTTTTTTTAGTTTCAGTTTTAATTCTTTACAGAAAAAATACCCTATCAAATCGAAAACAGTATGATTTGTAAAATGTCGCTTTGGTACAATCTGATTAAATTTCATACTTGAAAATCCCGCYGAAAATAATGTTTGACCTCTGCTGTTTTTGTTTTGTTTTTCAATGCGTAAGGCTCGCTTTGAAACCGCAAAAAGGGCTCAAATATTTTAAAACAATTTTCCTTTTAAATATACACAGAACTATTACAGCGCTATATCAGGCTCAAATAAACAGGTGCTAGCTGTATTTTCGGCGACACACATAGCGGGGCCTCGAGGCTTCACTCTCCACCAATCACATAGCGTTSTACTTGACTAATTTGAGGCATCGATCAGTCTGAAATCCTGCGTGTGCCAAACTCATCAAAATCGGATAACATTGAACGTATTTATCTCATCTGCGAGCTTTCGTCTGGATCCCAAAAAATACCAAATTCTGGAATAATTCAGCCTATCTTTGTGAACTTAAAGCTGTTGCGTTAWTTCTAACCTCAAGATAAAGTCCTGATACCAGTCTCCGCAAGAAAATCATTAGTGTCTTGTCGCTACTGAATTAGGCAGTTTGAAACTCAGATGAGTGGAAGAAGCCTAAGGAACTGTAACGCTATTTCTCACTAGATTTAAGGTTTCAACGTTGCTCATTCAGGTAAGCTATTGCGAAGTATTTACAGCGATTTCTGGCAGCTTTTAAACATATGCGCAAACGGTAAAAGAGTTGGATAATATATGTGTATACATATATATCGCAGGTGCGCATAGTATTTCTCGTTTGAACACAATTAAAGCGAAACCCTCTTGATGTACAACTCTCTTTTTTTCAAGTTTGTAAAGCCTTAATACTTACGCGGATTAAATTCGAAATATAAAGATTTTTTGGAGTAGATGCGAGTCCGGTAATGCTAGAAAGTCACTGTAGTTGTTAATAATGGATGACTCAGTTCATTATCACAAATGCTAAGCTGCTACTGCCAAAATGTCACTTAAACTGATGTAACTAGCCTTGCGCTAAATAAATTCTACGTATTTTTGTCCGTAAATGTTAAAAAAGGGAGTTAGATGTGTTTTTTCATGGGATTTTTAACTTTAAACGTGTTTAAACTGTAGACAAAATACATTGAATTTCTTAGAGTTTGAAACCAAGAGAAAAATGAATTTTGCTGTTGAAAATATTGAAGTAGGTTTTGTTCGTTACTCGTGGCTATGTTTATAGACAAATGATAWACAGAAAAAAATACTTTGTCAATCCAAAATCTAACGGTCTATCAACTGGCGATCCAGTCAGATGTGAAAAGGGTTTTTAGAGTGACATACATGTTTTTTACGTAGAAATTATTAATCTTTTGAATTCTTATCTTTGTGAACGTTCCTAGTTTCCGTTCTGTTTGACATTTATCCTCAATAAAAAAAGAAATAAAGGGAATTATCATTGATAAAATACTCTAAAGCCGTGGCTTGAATAACAATAGAAGAATCGGCAAACATTAATTAAAAAAAACACATATTTTTATTTTCAGCGTTCATTTTATAGTTTCTCTGCCTGTACTCACTCTACGTGTAAATTTACATCATCACTTCCTCGATGATCTTACATCATCCCGTGCTTCACCGACAACAATTCCATACTTTACACTTTGTTTAACGATCTTTTAGCGTTGTTACTACTATTAACTCGACCATCTTGCTTTGTTGCACAAAATGGCGTTGCTACTCATTAATGTCATTACCTATATTCTAATCGATTCTATTACGGTCATTTCACTTGTTTATAAAACCATTCTTGTAGGCAGGCTCCTTCGCAGGCCTCTCTCTTCCTTTTCTCTCTTTCTTTTTTCTTGTCTTGGGGATTCTGTGTTTGTCCTCAAGGGAAAACTGAGGGATACCGAGAAAAGTCTGCGGTTAGGTATACGAGAGGAATTCCAAAAGTGCAAAATTAAGTGTTGCCTGCTTAAAATTCTTATATAATTTTTCTCACAGCTGCAATCCTGGCGTCTAGTTCGTTCAAGACGGCATCCAAGCCAACGTCCATGATTTCATCAACCTCTTTATACCTGTACGGCCTACTGGCTGTGTTTGTRCTATGYAGCGTGACCCTCACYTGGGACACACCACTGTTCCATCAGTACCACGAACATTACATGTCACATTCRACGTATCGTGGTGTTGATGTGTTCACAGAGAGCTTAAACTCGCCAACAGGACCCGAACACTTCATGGAGAACTTCTACATATGTTATGGACGCGACGGACGAAAAACATATTATAAGAAGTTGGACAAGACTTATTTCTCGAACAAACGATACTGGATTATTACTTCCAGTGGGAAGTTCGTGGCATCCATGAAGACTTGTTGAGTTTAATATACATGTATGAATTTAGGAACACCCTGCCCAGTCAAAAGAGTGAAGATGCGCGGGACCCTCGCTACTCTCCATTAGAACGCTTAGTACTTCATGTAAGACCTCATAAAAGTGTAGACCTAACCGTGACAATTCATAGCCACTTACATGAATTTCTGACGTTCGGAACCATCTTTATTAGTCAAGCACCATATCATAATTCTCCTTCTCAACAGCCACTTCCATTGTAGAAAAAAAACACTGGGTGCACGTAATAGTTTAAGTGCTGCGGTGAAGACTTGTAATTATGTACATAACGGTTTTGATTTGAAATWAAAATGCTTAGTTTTGATAAAGGGTTGTTGTAAGCACGTGCATCACGTGCATCGCCGACCTGGTGTTCATTGATTCTAGAACCATTTTTTTTCTCCATACTTCTGCGACACCAGCAAATACTTAGGGAAAGTAGCTCTGCGCTTCCAAATTATCCCGTTGATGCATTGTGGTCCTTTTTCTAAAAAAGAGCGCTCAAAGAACAAATGTAGGCGAACTGACTGCACCACACAAATCTCCCATCACGCATGCATAACCCTAAGCAAATGATAAGGACTGGGGACGATTGTTACTGCACGCGATCACGACAGCATCTCAGAACGAACCAATGCGAAACTTACTAAAATCATGTAGATTGGACCTTAAGGTTGCGACATGACACGGAATCGGGAGCATTCCCGGATTCTGGATTCCAAGGTCCTGGATTCCGGATTCCATGACATAATTTTTCAAAGGATTCTAGATTCCATCATATTGAATCCAGAATGCAAAACATCCTMGATTTATTAGAAAACAATTTAACTGAATTCAGTGATTTGGATCGCAGACTCCTTTTGTTTCATCGGATTCAGTTTCCATTGCCACGGATTACGGACTATTCCAAGCGTGGATTCCAGATTCCAGTACCAAAAGGCTGGGCTTCAGTAAAAGCTGGTTGTTGAAACAGAATTCCGCGTCATGTTAGGGTATCTGGTACATGTTTTTGATCGAGGTTAAAAGCCAACGGGCGACCATGGTGAAAAAATTAGACATTTTGACTGACGGATTCCTCCAGTGGTTGTTCCCGCGCTTCCGACTAGTGCCCAGTCTCTCCTTCAGTTTTTACTTTTCGTTATAAATAATTATGATATTTGATTATCAAGTTAGTTATGAGTGGGAAGCATTTATTGGCGTAATACTTGAAGTTTTTCCTCTCAGAATTGCAGCAACTTGTAGTTTAGACCACATCTAGAGCCATTTCCTCGTCATGACATCTCCAAGTCTGAAAGCCTGGTTTCTAATAATTACGTCATCGAAATCTACATTTTGGGCTTCCTGTGTTAGTCTGTTGCAAGCGTCTTTTATAAGTTGTGACTAGTGAAAGTATGGACTCTCGTAAAACAAATGTAGTTTGAAACCGTTCAAAATTTTGAAGCAGTACAACAGTGTTTTAAATGGGAGCTTTTTTAGATAAACCAAAGACCGAGAAGGAAACAAACACAGGCGAGGGTAATGGACTTCGTTTTGGTGTTGCATCGATGCAGGGTTGGCGAGTTGAGATGGAGGATGCTCATACAGCTAAAATAGGCTTGAACGACCAGCTCCAAGACTGGTCATTTTTCGGGGTTTTTGATGGACATGCAGGCGAAAATGTTAGTAAATATTGTGCCGAGAACCTTCATGAGTTCATTATCAAAAACGAAAACTTTAAAAAGGCTGTCAAAGATAGATCGCCTTCGCCTGATCTCAACCTTTTGGAGCAAGGCATCGTAGACGGGTTTTTGGAACTGGATGACGCTATGCGGAGCCTTCCTAACTGGTGTAGTGGCGAAGATAAAAGTGGGTCTACAGCTGTTACGTTATTAGTTACTCCTTCATACTTCATTTTTGCAAATTGTGGAGATTCAAGAGGAATTCTGTGCCACAACGGCGAAGTCTTGTATAATACGATAGACCATAAGCCGAGCCATACGAACGAGAAGGACCGAATTGAGAGAGCTGGTGGTAGCGTTATGATTCAACGAATAAATGGTGCTTTAGCGGTTTCCAGGGCTTTGGGAGACTTTGAGTACAAATTAGACCAAAACCTTGGTCCAAAATGTCAAYTAGTCTCTCCAGAGCCAGAGGTTTACTTCCAAAGCAGAGGAGAAAGTGATGAGTTTGTTGTGTTGGCGTGTGACGGAATATGGGATGTGATGGCGAATTGTGAGGTCGCTTCTTTCGTTCGCTCTCGGCTCCAACTAACCGATGATTTGTCCAAGATATGCTGTGAGTTACTGGACACTTGCCTAACAAAGGTAAATTACATTTATTGTTTATGTATTTTCTGCAATGGAGTATTTGGAGAATGTGCTTTTTGAGCATGTTTTCCGTTGGTGTGATTGCTCGTGTTGGCTGGGCTTCCTTCGTCTGCYGAGCTTTCATGCCTCGATCACTTGAAAGTTAATGTTATTACCAAACTCATAACTTTAAACCCCCTTGATATAGAACTATGAATACAAATGATAAATCTTTTACAAGCTGACCTAACCGTGTAACACTTGCTAATTATTGGAAAGATTTTTGTACAATTGAGTAAGTATTAAAATAACTAGGGATGACACGACTTGCTAGCACGCGTTGAAGGGATTCTCGGAAATATTGTTCACTACTACGATTTCGATTTGTTTTGTAATCCTTCATTTTTATGTACATATTTCTTTATATCAAGCTTGTTCTAAAATTGTTGATTTTGAAGGAGAACTGACTTCACACGTACAGATAAGCTAAGCACAATGTAGTAATAATAAGGTTTATATAACCTCTCTCTATCTATATCGCATGCTCCATGCAACACGAACATTTTTAGTTGAAAATGCAATATTTTRACTAAACTTGGCGATCATAAGTCACTATTAAAGGCCAATTTATTAACAGTTTATATTCTCTTTTTGTATTTGATATGATCCYAGTTTTAGTCAACTCTGATGAATAATTCATGTCTGTGAATTTGAGTGACATATTGTCAGAGTTTTGTTGGTCTTTGTTTGTTGATTATACCCAAAATAGATCTAGTATTTAGKTTTCTTGCAGTCATCTTATTGAATGCTGAGATTTTTAAAGAGATTTATCACAAATCATGTTTTTGCAGCCAAATTAATTRATATTGAAAATGAAAACAGTTGCTTTTGATTTTAAGAAAATTGCCGTGTCAGCAATGCAAATAAWCTAAATAAGCAAATTTGAATGTACAACAAATGTCCTTCTATATGAACTTCCTCCACAGATATACAATGTTTTTTAAATTCAAGGGTRTGAAAATGTTTCTCACAAGTTCTTGTTGAAATTATTTTTGTTTTTCATTTCAACTGATTTTCCACTTCATAACACATTGTTTATTTCATAGTTTTGCTTACTTGGCACTTACCAAAACTTGTACAAGCATGTAAAGAAAAAGAGAAAGTCAAGCAGTACATGYAWAAAAGTCAATGTGSAATTATTTKTTACTTGATGTCACAGCTATTTGTCTTGATTCAATAATTGTTTGGTTTCTTGTAGTAGTTGATTGCGACTTGATAAATACAGTATACATCTAATTGAAAAAAATGTTATTGGATCACAAAAAAGTGATATCATTGGCRCAAATGCTTAAGGRGACTTTCATTTCTCCAAAATTYAAAATCATATTTGCCAAAACATGTYACATTTTAGTATCAWTCAAAGAGAGCTTCATTTTATTCAGTCCAGGTAATCGTTTGACACCCTTTCCGTCTTGGCTTTCATGAAGTAACCTTTTTGAWCCAGACTAYGTTGGTAATTGAAGTAGATTGGATTTTCTTTCGCATTCAATCCAAAAGTGCAAAACTACTCTTCAGMAAGAATTATAAACTGCATGCCTATGAACTCTTTTCATTAAAAATGACAAAATAAAGATTTTATAATGAGAATTCTTATTGRAATGGTTATGTTATTATACTTTTGTGGAAATACTATTCCAAGAATTCATCTTTTACCTCACCATAACTTCCTGTAACCATTGCTTGTATTCCCATGTGAACAATCCAGACAAAAGTCTCAAATTMCAAWATTATTAAAATAGACTGTTACCAATGAAATCAAGTGCTTCTTTGCTCTTGTCGTTGTTTTGATTGCTGTCAATCACCAGTTGCATATTAGAMTTATGTCTGGTTTGGTTGTTAGTAATGTAAACTTCATTAAAGCATAGTATCTTCTTTTCTCTTATCCTGTTGCTGAGCATGATTTTAGGTACAATTCCCTTTCACTTTGAAAGTACTATATTCCAGAATCTAACGTCTTTGGCTTATTCTTTTATTATTTTGTTTCCACCAGGGAAGCCGTGATAACATGAGTGTCATAATTGTATCGTTACCTGGRTCGCCTAAAGTCTCTGAAGAAGCCATCAAAAATGTTAGTATTCCAGGTCCAGTTGCTTGAATGGTGGATAAATTTATTCAATTGATAAAGCTATCCACTTCATATAGTAGATTTTTCATGGACAATTTTAATTAATTCAGTGGACAAGAATTCTTCAATATAAGTGAGAATACAGTCATTATTATGAAAACAATGCGAAAATCCACACAAAAAAGTAATAGTTTTGATTTGCAGCACCAGTGAATTGAGCTTTTACTTAGAAAAATAATGTGGCATCAAAAATACCCAAATTAACTACTTATATTCCAGAATCATGGGTAGGCTTTTCAAGATCTATTTACTTTCAGGCTGTTTTGTCCAAGGGAAACCTCATAGAGAGGGTTTGTTTGTAGTAAATGAAAAATTTATGAATCTTGCCACTACTATCTTGCCACATCCTACAAATTATTATTTTTTTCTGATTTTGTATTTTCCAGGAAGAAAAAGTTGAAGCAGAAATAGAGAAAAAACTTACAGGTATTAACGTAAAACAGACAAAAAATAATAATAATAGTTTGTTATGCTAATCGTCATCATCATCATTATTGTTACTAATGACAATAATGATAAACATTTATGATAGYAGCAATCATCATGATAAAACAACTTAAATCTCCTTTTTCATATCCAYGACACTGTTTATCAACATATTTTATAATCTTTGATTATTCTTGGTCGTCCTCCAATATTATTAATCACAAGAGATGCAAAGTWATATATAAAATATGAGCGKGAGACAATATGGGCATTTWAAA